TACGGAACACTTCAGTTGACTACTGCTGCGGTGCAAAACTCACAAAAGTGCACACATTGGGGGGGGGGGGGCCTAAGGATAGAGATCAATGAATAGCTTGAATGCGTCAAGGGCATAGGAAAATATACTTTTATATCTTTCTAGCAGATAGTGCTTTTTTTCATAAAACCATTTTGAATGGAGAAAATTGAATTTTCCTTTTCCTTCCACTCATCTTTCGACAACTGTAGTTTTATTCTGGTATGCATGCGAAAATAATGTGAATTTGTTATCTTTCCGTTTGCTAGGCGAGATCTCTGATAACGTTCATCATCTTTTTGATAGTGGCCGCTATCAAGGATTGCCTGGAGATTCCGCAAGAATGTGCCACTAGCCGGTCGAAACACTGCATGGGCGTTGAACATCAATCACTTACGTATGATATATAAAGTGCGGTTCATAATTATACGAACACCTCAAACAAAGGCCCATTTTCCATTCAGGACTGCAATCTTTCAAGTCCAAATTTTTTGTAGAGATACAGTAACAACGTCTGCAATATCTGGTACACCTAAACGCACTGCAGCTCAAAAAGAGAAGCGTTACTGTTTCCGTATGGCTGTAAATGCTTTTGGTGTCATTAAGCTCCAAAAAACGTCTGTTTTTCTGTGGTTTACGCATTCTAAATACCTTCTACTAAGGCTATGGATAAAATAAGCTATTTCGATAAATATTTTGTTTGACGCTTGGAAAATCTTTGCGTTTTCGTGCCGTTTTCCGACCAAGCCAACCCTACGCAGAGTTAGCACTATTTCGAGCCTCAAAACTCAGCTTCTGAAGGCCTACATTGAAGTAAGCACATAGTATGTAGAAGTTCGCAAGACCACGTATTTGGTTAGAAAAAAACAGCAAAGTTGAGCATTTGTTTTAACCACGCAGGCTCATTTCACCGAAACCACTGTTTTTACTATTGCAATCACCTTTGTTTGGTTTTTAGCTCCACAGCCTCAAGACTAGCTCTGCAAAAAACCCAAAAACTTTGGCACGGTCACATCATCATGCAAACAATGTAGCTGCTTCATATCAAATGTTGCGCGAGACAGAAGCTGAGTTTAGAGGCTTGAAATAGTGGTAACTCTGGGTAGGGTTAGAAGTTGGTTAAAAAACGCCACGAAAACCAAAAAACTTCCCAAGCGTCAAACAAGTTATTGAAATAGCTTATAATCTCATAGCCTTAGTAGAAGCTATTTAGAGCGCGTAAACCACAAAAGAACGGATGTTTTTTGAGCGCAATCACTCCAAAAGCATTGAGAGCCTTCTGAAAAAGTAACGGTCCTCTTTTTAAACTGGATTCAGTGTGCAGCAGATATGTCAGACTTTGTTACTGTAACTCTACAAAAAATCTGGACTCAAATGATTGCAATCTTGAATGAAAGATGGGCCTTTGTTTGAGTGTTTGTATAATTATGAACCGCCAAAAATTCGCATTAGTCGCAAAAACACTGCTAAGATTGCCATCGAATTCCATTCTTCTAAATCGTATACCGTTTTCGGCTATCTTTCGCGTGGTACCAAAGTTTTTTTTGAGTTTCCTGCAAAAAATCCAGAAACCTCTAAATGTTAGGGTATTCGTATAATTATGAATCGCACTTTATACAAATTAGGTTGCTGCATAAGTTCTGTTCGAATTTTTTTGTCTTATGTTTGAAGCAGCTGTTTTAACAGAATTTCATCTCTAATGCGGTGTTGTTAGTATCGTTAAAAAGCGCTTTTCTTGCGCTTTCTGTTGCATATCAAATTTCAATAAATTTCTTAGCGTAAGGAAGTTTCAGGCCTAAAATCTCCAAGTGGCCGAGGTATGTTCTCACCCCAAAAATATGTTCTTGCGAGGAAATCTCCACAATGCGCCCTTCAGGTCAAGTTTTTCGATTGGTTGCGGAATAAGGGTGTAGCAGGCTAGCATTACGCATAAGTTCAGTTTTATGAAGGAAACGTTTTGTTAGTGAAATTTATTGTCAAACATTAATCTCCTGTGTAGATGTTTTACAAGAAATAACTTTCTCCGAATAGAAGTAATCGACGAATTCAAAGTTGGAGGTGCTAGTGTAAAGCAAGGGCTAGCAGAGACCATCCACCAATTTTTTTTTCGGCGCTCACTTCAATTGTAAAATTTCACAATTCGTAAGTAAACATGCACACATGCGCTAAAGCGAGGTCAAAAAGCGGCTTCTTTTTTGCTCGGTCAAAAAACCTTTTGGCAACGCAGACCCTAAGGGCTTTTTTTTATAATGCAAAACAATCTACGAAAATTCTCTATCTATCCATCGTTAGAAAAGCTGCCTATCAATTCTCATAAGGGAGCATTGCTATGTCAAAAGATAGGTTTGAAGAAAAACGCTGTGAAGTTTTTGAGTTCCTGCTTCTTCCTTAACAAGAATTTTCGCGGATGTTATCATGTATCTGATAGCCAAGGAATTGCTCAATACACGTAAAACTAAGACCTTGGAAAAAAGTTGACTTTGAAAGAGGTTATGACATTTTGAACTCAAAAAATTCAAATCGGGCAGAACTTATGCAGCAGCCTAATAAATATATAGTGGATTTCAACACGTATTGGTCTTTTTACCGTACGCCTCCAGCCTCAACATGACGTATCTTTGATTCGACTGGTTTAGCTCCGTCAGGGCAAGTCGCTCGCGCCCGCGACGCACCTGCGTCTCTCGCGCGCAAGTGCTCTCTGATCATTACCTAGCCTTAATTAGATCACGAAGCCTCGCCTTGGCCGAAGCTCAGCCAGTTGAATCAATTGTAGATTGGTGCGGCTCCGCATCGCTTCAGGCCTGCGCCACGTAGATGACGCTCGTTTGGCGTGGCGTGGCGAGAAAGCAACGTGGCGTAAGCCCGAAACGATGGGGCGCCTCATTAATCCAAGTCATGTTGAGGCTGAAAGGCATACGGTAGAAAAGATCAATACGTATTGAAAATGACTGTACATCTCTTAATATAAAACTCAAAAATTGTCTTTTGGAGGGTATGTGCATTATAGAAACGCGCGTCGCTCAAACGGTTAGGCTGAAATTTTGCACACACATCTTTTCGACCCCTTTATCGGTTTCTTGATCTGTTTACTCAAATCTATGGAAATGGAAGCTCATCATTTTGACCAGGCAATCTCAGATATTCGTGTAAACACGGGTGGAGAAGCTCATTTTCGCAGTGACTGGGGTGCGGTGTTGGAAAGCGATGCAGCCAGAATGAAGGGCAAGATAACGCAGGAGCCAGAGGAACGGGAAGCGCGGTTTTGTAGCGGATGCATGAAAAAAGAAAGGAAGAACTTGCTGAAGGGTGAAGAAGAGTAGAATGGTGGAAATTTAGGAAGGGACCGAAACCATTATGGTAGGGGTAATTTCCACAAAGGACAGTTACTTCCGTCACCTAATTTTGAGCAGAAATCTTTGCAAATAATTAATAGATGAAACCTTGACAAATTGATAATCTACCCAAATATCCCTTTTTTGGCGCAGGCTTTCCGTAGCAAATATCTTGCTCACTTTTTGGACTGAAGTTTATGGGTCTGCGCATATACTTGTTAACCAAATCCACAACTTCGCCCAGCTTATCGTTTGCACCGCTTACTGCTGAATAGGGTGCTATGAACAAAATTTTAGCTCAAGACCTTGCATAAAACACGCTCCTTGAATTTCGTGACACACAACACACAACACACACACATCCACACACACATACACATACATACATACACACATACACATACACACATACACACAGATACACACATAGACACACACACATCCACACACACACGAGCTCTATACACAAAACTGCTGCTTTTACTACTGCTACTAATGCCAGCTTGAGAGTTAATTTGTAAAGTTGAACGAATCTTTTTCGCAAGTTTCAAGAAAACGTGGAAGGCTGTGAAACTTCTTTTCAAGCGCCGTAGATCACCGATGATGCAGTGCTGCCAACGCTCGGAACTAGCTTCCTGTCTTATGGCGCTCCACTTTAGGATGAGGTTTCGAAAATTTGAGATCAAAGCAATAATCTGCGTTTTATCGTATCCTGCATTATGGGTTTAGAAATCATTGTAGAATAAGTTGTACAATGACACAAATAAATTTCATCGCACCAAAATGGTTATAAATTTTGTGTTTTATTGTTATAATAACAGTAATAATAATGAATATGGCTAGTATTCAACGTCTTCCTCGGCTTCAGAACGCACACAGCTACCAGTGAAGCACACAGTCATCGACATTGTTTTATTCTACGACATCTCTCAAAGGCAACGTCCTCCCGAAACTTTGTCTTCCTCGTTTTTGTCACTTTGGGGCTTTTTTGTGGCCCTACAGTCATGAAGTTCAAAATGTGCAAACCGCCCAAAAACGCGATTTTTAAGAACCCTATCCTGAAGACTTAAACACTTTTACAAAGTAGGGCGGAGCTCGATAATTTAGGCGTGGCTTGGTAGCATTTCGCTGTTCCAAGTCCATTATCTCTATTTGGAGACAGCAATGGAGACCGGACAAATGGAATGCCCCTATCCTGGGGTCTACACTGAGGATAGGCGCTAAGCCGCAGAGGGTTGGATTTTTCCTAGACGCTGCCTTCGATGTAAAATGTCAGAAGCTCCGCACGGATGAGAGCCAATTTGCCCAGCTAATATATCCCAGTGAAGATTTTCATAAAAGGCCAAGCATACTCCGCGCAATTTCGGCCGCGACGCGATTTGGCAATTCGTCAGAAGTCTTCACATCCAACACTAGCAAACTGCATATGCATAGTGTGTGTAACTTACGTGGATTGATAAAATGCCCTATCTTCTATACACTTGAAACGTGCTTACAGTGAGTTGTGGACAATTGGAATATTGCCAAATCGCGCTGCCCGGCCTTTAGATTTGACTCATGTCATCCTATGTTTCAATATGCGGCTCACAGCCTTTCTAGTCACGCATATGCGCTCTCGTAGTTTGAAGTTCACTCTCTTTTTCCACAGAGAAGCCTGGCAAGTCAAAAATGTGGTTTGGGCTTTTAACAATTGCTGCTCTGATGTGCTCAGCATTTGCTCGATATACTCAAGATCCATGGCAGTGTAAGTTTCAGGGAGTAAATGCCTTAACATGCAGAAATTAAGTTTGAATCATCTATTTATAGGGAGAATCGAACGTCTTTCCAATGGCCGTATTAGATATTGGGCCCACGATCCGAGACCAAGGGCACCTTGTGGAAAACTCCTGTACCGATAATGATATCCTTCAAGCCGTTCAAATTTTCCTGCATCGATGGAATCGATCAAGCTCTTCACTTATGATGACACCGTCATTAACAAAGCTTTGTGTTTAACAAGTCCATGAACATGATAATAAGAATTTCTTTTTTTTAGTGAACCGCAATTTCCCAGTAATATCTGCAGGATGCGATCATCTCCAAGTCTTTATTGGTTCAGGTGGTTCCTCGCTACCATCCCTGATAAAGAAAGACAATTCTAAGCAGAAAATGGGAGCCATTATAATGAGATTAGTTTTCGACATCTTTCTTTGCAGCTAGCGATTCGTCACTGTCTCATTATACATGGTTGAGCCAAGTAAGTAGTTTTTCTCAACAAATCTGTTGGAAAAAGGTGTCACTAGGAACGCAGAGTGTAAAATTAATTTAAGTGACAAGAAATAAGGTGCCTATGCATATCCGTAGGTACTAACCAACAAAAAATTAACTGCTGTAAACAAGAAATGTTGTTTATCAAATCTTGAATGTAACAAAAAAGAATGAGGGTAAATTGGAAGAGCAGAACGCGTTAATCATTGTCTTCAAGTAGTAAGATGACAGAAATTTTGTTCTGATTTTCATAGATCTTACCTACAGAATAACTATTCTTGCAAGCTTAGATAGCACTGTATTTCGCGTTTTCGGACATAGAATAAGAATGCATGAGGAGTTGTCAAGTAACAGATTTTGGAATGCAACTTGTTACTTTCGCAAAAACTCTGAAATATTGGTTGACAAGCTGGGGTTGAATCTTTCCTATAAGCTTCCGCAAAATCTTAGGTTGATTTCAAATAAACGCGCGTTTTTGAACCTTCTTTTTCTAGCGTTGTTAAAAGGACACTTTTTCTGGAAGTATTTCACAATATTTAGAAAATTATCTTCGAGCTTTTGTTCCCGTAGAAGTTTGTGATGACTTTGAGTAGCAGTAAATTCGAAGAAAGGAGACCTACTTTGAAAATATGCCTAACGATTGCAAGGTTTTATGCTATCATGTTGCCTCTCAAAAATATTTCACATTTGTTAGAAAGATATCAACATAAGTTTAGGCGGTCGTCATGTATTGTGCCGCGTAAAAATCTTGAGCGAAAATGAATAGCAGAACTTTTACGCTCATAGCAGAAAAGTAAATCTTCTATTTTTTTTAGCAAAGAAAAAAAGAGAAATTTCATGAAAGTATTTTTTGCCGTTCTGAAATGCCCACTAAGTTGATTACTTTCACTTTGCAGCACAGTCTCCCAGAAAAACTTCGTGATTTCTTAGCCACCAGGGCTCATCCGGCCATTGGCAACATAATGAGCAAAGTTTGCGCGATCCTACTCAATTCAGAGCTACTCTGACTGTTTTCGACAAGGATTTTTCCACGAATTTGTAGGGTATAGTCTTCACTTTGGTTACTTTACCATATATCGCAGTCACTCGCCATTGCAGCTCATGATCTGAATATATAGTATGACTGTTGGAGAACTATCGCGCATTCAAGCAAAAAAAAAACGATCACATCCTCCCGACGTTAGAACATATTAAAGGCAGCGTCCGAGCAAAAGTTTGAACATAATTTTTCTCACTTACCTGGGCTTATTCTTCCCCCTGATTGCGAAGATGCAGCTGGCAGAGCACGAAGATGTCGAAATCAGGCTAATCCAAAAGCTGTTGGTTAGGAATTTGGGAGCTTGCCGCCGAGATAAAGACGCAGAGTCGTGGTGGGAACCCTAAGTCTTGAATGTGTGCGATATACGTACTCTGGCTATCGATTGAAAGGGTTGCCACTTTTGAAACGGTTTCCTCGCTTCAGAAGCGATATAGTGCGATGCCACTAGGCCAGGAGCCTTATCAAAACGGGAGCCCCTGTACCGTAGAATTTCATATATGACCGGAAGCTCCTTTGAAGCCTCTTTAGCGCATGTTTCAGATATGCGGTGTACCAAAAGCTAGAGGCTAAAAATGGTCCATAAACATATTAGGTCGTTCTGAAAGTAACGTCGCTTTTTTCAAACGTATGCCACATCTCGAAGAACAAAGGTATGTAAGAGATTCTAGCAGCAGCTGATGCAGCATTTCATTCTCTTTCTAATGGTTATAAAGCTGTTGCAATACATTCAATGAGCTTCCAGAAAAGAGTCAAAATCTGCGACCTATGCTTTTTAAGATGGCCAAGTTTCACAATTTTTCTAAAATTTTATAACAAACTTCAGAAGGAGTCCAAGTAGTGGATGGATGGAGCAAACCATACAGGAAACAGCACAACTTTTTTCTACTTTCCAGAGCTCGTCATAATTTTTGTACAGATTTTTTGATAGAACCAATTTTAGCAGGTTCGTCTCAGACGCAAATGCATCAAACACAAAAAATCTTCGAATTTTGAAACTTACAAAGATGGATCATGGTTTGGCAACAATTTTACGAACCAAACGAGCATTCACCGCTTCGGTTAGCAACTTTCGAAAATTTTGGGTACATCTTGGGGTGCCTCGGAAAAGTTGAATTATGATGATTTTATCCCGAAAACTTGATGAATGGAAACAAAAAAACGACCGCTAGAAAGAGGAGAAAAAGCTGCATCGAATGACACCCGAGTCGCTTGCCGGTTGTTGTTCTGTGAGGTTTGACTTGACTAAATATGGAATCTGATGGCATTGAGAAATTGATTGTAGAAACTCTAAGAAGCAAGCTAAGGAAAAGAAAAAGTTACTCTGTGTTCTGTAGTGTTTGCTCTATCTACCTGCCACTTGTGCTTTTTCGGAGATTAGGTACAAAAGTTTAGAAAAATAGCCGAACTTGACCATGGCAAAAAGCATGAGTCGCAGATTTTGGTGATTTTTCGAGAGCTCATCAAACGTTATGCAGTGGGCTTGCAACCACTAGAAAGAGGATGAAATGCTGCATCGAATGCTTCTAAGATCTTATAAAAATGTTGATTCCACGAATAGTGGCGTTCATTCGAAAAAAGTGACATTACTTTCGGAACGACCTAATATATAGAGACTGTCAACATGTAGAACAAATGAGGCCACCAAAAATATTAGCGCTGCATTTAAGTGGTAGCAGGTGGCATCAGCCGTCGTCTCGTTCTTGTTCAGTCGTTTGCAGGCAATCAGAATTTTAATGTTTTTGTTAGAATCTATCAAATGTACGATAAGGCTGTTCCGAAAGCAATTCGCTTTCGGCAAAAACATTTCATGTTTTCCTAACGGGTATGCCTTCTTATTTCATGCCACGAGCTTCAGAAAGCTTCATTTCAGAATCTGCAACGCACGGTGTTAGACGTAGTCAATTTTTGCGAACTATCCAAATTTGCACAATGGCTGAAATAGCTTCAACAGAAGTGATCAAAAGACGTATGCAAGCCTAATAAGATAATCTGTTACAGAATTTCTTCATCAGCAAAGCTTTATTCGCTTCAAAGTGGTCTACAAGATATGTGGCGTACCGAGGGGAGGACGGCCCCCCCCCCCCCCCGAGAATGGTCGCGAAATTTTTGAAAGTTACTTATATGGGTTATAAAAATGTGGAAGTGACTTTTTTATTTTGTAAATAATTATTAGTTTGTCAAGAAAATAATGTCGTTTTTTCGGGTTTTTTCGGGTAAAATTGATATTGCTTAAGAACTAGAGCACATCCGAGGCCAAACTTTCATGGTTAAAGTAACGAAGCTTTGTAGTATACAAAGGCATATGTGGGAGGAGCCCAGTACCATTGGGGGCGGAGTTTGCCACTTCCCATTTTTCAAATTTTTCTTGGTTTCTAAGCATGGAAAATATATATCAAGTGTACTTATGGATAAGTGCATGTGCCTTTCACACGCAGGAGCAAGTGAGAGGTTCGCAGGATTTTCTAAAGCGAAAATCCGATTTTTGGCAGCACGAGTTAATGGTATGTTTTGGCTCTGAACTTTGCGTTAACAACAACTTCTGCCATTGTTCGGACGTCATCTTGTAGAGCTTTCTTTGCTCTATCGAATGGTATTTCTTACATATTTTTTTTAAATTTGACTCATGGCTTTTCTATGAAAAACGACATTATTTTCTTGACAACCTAATTAAATAATTTTTAAAAATTCATATTAGCCTTGTAAAAAAATTTTTTTCGGGGGCGTGGGGGTCGAAGACCCGCAAAAGTTTTGAGAACCACCCCAAAAATTTTTTTCGGAGTGCGTGGCTAACGCCACGCACCTTCTTTAAAAAAAATTTTTGTCGCGCTCCCCCCCCCCCCCCCCCCCCGAGCCGAAATCCTGGGTACGCCACTGGGTTGCAAATGTATTAGGTTGATGCAAAAGAAATGGCCGATTTTCCAAGCCTTTTTTCAGGGCAACTTTTCCCCATCGATTCTTCTTCTTTACAATGGGTGTAGTATATTGTCGCAAAGCTGTTTTCATGCTCTATCTAACGGTGCTTGAAACGGGCTCTCATCCTCATTTCTTATAAAGTTACTAAGCTGTAAATAACTGCATCCAAATTCAGAATTTCTTTGCACTCACTTTTCCGGCCAGAATTCAAGCGCGTATCAATGGGATTTCTTCAAAAATTTAGCTACTGTATGTAATAGAAATTTTCTACATTATGCATACTTAACTGCATCCTTTGAAGCTATCCAGACTGAGAAATCGGAGCCTAAATATGGGGTAGCTGTTGCGGACATTTTATGACCCATAATTTTCTTTTGAGGAAGTCAGTCGCCAAAGCTTTGCTCAGTTCTGTAAGCGTAGAGCTAGGACATCTATTAGCAGTTTTTGCAAAAACATCCAGCTGTTCAGTACGAAGAAAATCAGAAAATTCTATATTCCGGACCTTGAGGCACACTGAAAAAATGTTGAAAAAAAATGAGAAGTTTTGAATTTAAATTTTTTCTTTCTCGCAAACTTTTTTGTTTGTCTTCTTTTTAATGTGTTTTGTACCACTGACTAGCGGCTACAAGATAGGCCATATTTCATTCATACTAAGAAACTCTGAAGGAAGTTATGAATTGTCAAAAACAAGGTTCCCTCAGAAGAATCTTTTTTGTCTTTTAGTCCGTATTTTTCTTCCCGTTCATGGTTTGAGTACACTTAAGTATGCGCTGTATTGCGAAAGGATTGCTGCTTCTGGAGGTCTTTACCGCATT